TGTACTTTTGGTACAAAACCTTCATTGTTGGTGATGAAATTGGAATTTTTGAATGGAAATGTGTTTTATTTTCATTCAAATTGTTTGAAACTTCACCAGTGGCAAGTTTTTGATGGAAAATGACGATATTATCAATTTTGAGTCGATGCGGTTGTGCGAAGATATTTTTATTTTAACTGAAAACGTCATTTTTCAATAAATTCACATATTGACCTACCGAGCTCTTGCGGCACCATCTAGCGTTGAGCTATCGGCATGAAACTTTACACATATTATTTACACACCATATGGAAAAGTATTCCGAGGTAAGAACGAAAAAAATTCAACTTTTGTGTTTTGGGGGCCAGTCTAATACGTATATATGTTCGTTGGTCGAAGCTGTCAAAATACGACCAACGAACTTATATCTGCTTTGACGGTTTTATAAATGAACTTATTTATTTTCGTAAGTCGTACAGCAATTAATAAATTAAAATTATAATTTTAGTTCATAAATTTGATACCAATTATAACAAAAAATATTTAATTTCCAATGTTTTCAATAAATAAAAATTGCTAAAAAAAACACGAAGTGTATCACGCTAAAAACCAAATTCCACTATTCCGACGAATTCGACTATTATTTACAAATCCAAAGCAAACGACGATTCCTAATCCGAGTGTCCAACCCCTAGAAACTATGCACATAATATTCTGATAGTTTGGAGAATCAAAAAATCGAAATTTGAATTTCACACAAAATATAAAAAGCGTTTCTAAAATAATGAAATAAAAAACTTCTATAGAGGTGAAGAACTAGTGACGAAACCAAAATGTGGAACACAAAATTTCTGATATAATTTTTGTGACGAAAATTGTTGGTAGATATTTTTCTGTGTACTGTGAATATAAACTTAATATGCATTATATATTCAAAACGTTGCAGAAATTCCTCTCTTTTTATTGTCAGTATGGAATGATGAAACGTTCCGAATACACAAATGTATATTAAGTTTTTATTCACAGTACGCAGAAAAATTATCTATCATTTATTTTCGTCACAAAATTGATATTAGCAATTTTGTATATCAAATTTTGGTTTCGTCACTCGTTCTTTACCTCGATAGAAGATTTTTTTATTTGATACCAATGGTTTTGTAAGTGCTATTTTCCAAGTTTACAAATTCAAGACACACGAATTCGAATATTTTTCAAATACAATGAATATATGGATTTCTAGGTTATTTTTCGATCAAAATCATATATAAATTATGATTTACATATATTGGGGAACAGAATTTTTTTTCAGTGGTGTGTGGTATGCACATTTTTTTATCTTTGACTTCGATGAAATTTTCAAATGAAACTATGCTGTATTTTTTGAAAAAAATGTGCGTTATGTGTCCGACCAGACGGTCACATTTTATTTGTTGGCCAATTTGACCACCGCAATTTCAATTTTTTAAGTTGAAATTGGCAACATTTGATAGCTGGTATCTATATGATATATCCCAAAAAACATTTGTTGTGGCAAATTCATCCATTATCGGGCATATGTTGACGGTCAATATTGGGGTCGGATTTGAGTGTAGTTTCAGTCATTTTCAACGTCGCAATGGAAAGAAAAAAGAGAAAAAATAAACTCAGTTACTAAGTATGAATCAACATCAATATACTATCGGTTCAGTTCAATAAATGATACTCACCTACGGGTTATTTTATATACCGAACTGCCCGTACTCCGGTCAAGGCCACAAAACTCAAGCCCAGCATAGTAACAAAACGTTACAATAATATTATTTAAAAAGAAATCTTAATGCTACATGTAATTAAAACTGGTCGTCATCGGAAACATCGAGAACATAAACGTAGTCCTCATCGTCACTGGAATCCTCATCGTCAGCTGCTTGATTTTGTACGGCAGCATTTTGATTCTGTGGTCTCAATAGTTGCGGATGAATGTCCAATCCCAACACCGTACAAAGACCTAAAAACAAAATCGTAAACAACAAATTGTTAGCCAAAACATTCTTAAACATTTTTAATTTCAGTGATATTTTTTCACCTTTGTACATGATGTTCTTGGCTGCAACGATATCCCGGTGCCAAACAGTTTTCAATTGAAATGGAGCTCGATCATCTTTCCAAATGCCAGTGTTTAGTTGCCAGTTTTTGAAACATACTTGAAGTTTTGACACTAAACCATCTGAATCCATTGGAATATGATCTGGGTTGGCTGCATTCAATCGATTAACAAAATCAACTGCATATTTACGCAATTGTTGGTACACTCGGTTGCTTTTCATGGTGATAATCACGTTCGGTAAATTCCATTGCGATGACTCATCTTCACTTGGAATACAATGCTGACAAACTTTGTATCGATCGCTTTTGGTTCGTCGATCGAATGGCCGGAAACATTTTGCACAAGTTTGCGATGTATTGTATTCGTCGACCAATCGTACAATACAATTTCCCAACTTCTTGAAACTGTTCAATAGTCGTCGTAATCCCGGGCATCGCAATCGCTTTTTAATACCAATTGGTGAGTTTGGAGCTATTTGAGCTGCACCAATAAAAACGAGCGCCGACTTTTTTTTCGTCAGTGATGCCGCGATTTTGTCACTGGCCCGATTCTCTTCGATGTATTTATCAAGACGGAGTCGAATAAACTTTCTTGTTGTGTACACCGCCATAGCTGGTTTCATCATTTTCACATAATAAGCGATGTAACACATCCAATGTGAACGTCCTTTCGGCGATGGAAAAAATGCATAGCGTTTATAGTCGAGCTCCCGTTGTTTTTGCAACAATTCAGTCCATTGATCGGATTTACGCTTGCGTTTGCCATATTTCGCTTTGAAATGGTATTTTGGACCATCAATTGTGATGTTTTCCTGAGATTTACGAACAAAAAATCATAGAAGTAAACAAATGATAAATAAAGAATGAATTTATTGTTTCTTACCTCGTTGCCGGATCGAACGTGTTTGCGAACGGTGGCGTTCCATGTACGAACTCCTGGATCGATTCCAAGCACATAATCAAACTCAAAATTATTGTACTTCTCTTTGATGGTGTTGTTATCAAGTTCTGGTGTATTGCGTTCAGGCTTCACGAAACATAACGAAACTGCCACACTATCGGTTGCCACAGCAAAATCGAATTCCTTACCATTTCCAAGTTTCGAAATTTTTGGCATGTCAAATATTAAATTCCAATAGAAAGCTGGATTGCTATCGTATTCAGTTTTTTCAATGTTTATTGGCTGACCGCGTTTTCCTTTTGCCAATTTCAATGCTCCAAATTTGCGCGCAATCGAATAAAAAAGATGGATATCGATGCGGATATGTTTCATATCGAAATCGTGGACTGGAACTACTAAAAAATTCTTTATTTTTGGCGGGAGTGGAGTGGTCGGCATGACATTGTTGTTCGGATCGCGTCGATATTGGAACCAGCGTTGTTTCAACATTTCATATTTCGCGTGAAAATCGAAAATTTGTCGCTGAATGTTTATAAATATTGGAATGGTTTGGAACCAGCGATCACGAATGAGATTCTGAAAGTGTACATTGATTGGCAATCCAATGCCTGCTGCTTCGTTTAATAGAAGATCGATGTTCGCGTTTCTCTCGACTCTACTTTGGAACATTACGATCTTCGTCGCACGTTTTACATCCAATTCAGTGATGAGATTTCCTTGTCGATTCAAATTCAGTTCGTAGCGCTTTAGTGTGAAAAATTTCTTGATGCGACTGAATGCCCATACTTTGATGTTATTTTTCACGTTTGTTATGTACTGAGTGATGAGATGATTGAATGCGTTCCCCATGCCCTCGCGAGCTGGCCAATTTTCTGGACGAAGAAAATCAGGACATGCTTGCTCCACAGTTCGTCTAAATGCAAGCGGTAATTTGTGGTAATTTTCTTGTAATACCGAGGTGAAAAATTCACCAATTACACCATTCACGTATTTATTGAATTCATTATTCGTGTATTCATCGGATTCACCTTTAAAAAATCGAACATTTTCATCGTCAAAGGCTTTGTTTGCTTTGAACAAAAACAGTAATGACGCCAGAGTCATAATTATTGTGGCCGAAAGGCACCAGTATGTGACCTGATCGATGAATGGTGCACGATACTCTTCCCGCAGCACTTGATTTAGAGTCATCTTCAACGACGTACTGCGCCCATTCTCGGCTCTCTTTCTTCTCATCGTGACAGATCTATTGTACAAAAATTAAAGAAAAAAATACACCAAATATAGCATAGATCACAAACACAATAAGATATAAACACTTCTATCACAAATTAAATGAAACAGTAATGAAGAGCGCATTATAAATATCACCTCTTACCTCAACAAAGTGACTCTGTATTCTAAATCGAATGATGAAATTTATTTTCAACGTGACATCAAATATTTTGCCGATCGAAATGTTGTTGGAATATTCACAGTTAATTTTATCAACACTCTGTTATTTCGAAATTAAAACAAAGACAGTCACAAAACCAACTGTGAATATATCCATTCCACAGGGAACAGCATTCTGAACACACAAAATCGTTTTTGAAATGACAATAAAACCAATTGATCGCCCAAACCACGCTTCAAACACTCTCATATAATTCTCAAGAAATCCTGTTGAAAACAAAACAAAGTTTTATTGTAAACAAAATCGGTTGGTGCAAAAGTTGTTAATACTAACTACTGGATTTGGTTTGACACATATACACCGCGCGGATAGAAAAATGTCAGAAAGATGTCAGTTGCATTTCGAAAATTCAAAATAATAATTCCACAAATAAAGAAAAATAAATGTAATGAACGACTAGTAAAAGAGTTCTTTTGCAGAGTTTTATTTATTTCTTTTCGAATAAATTGTTTATTTTTTTATTTGAGCGTAAGATTTGTATTTTCAATATAAAACTTAATGTATTGGGTTGTGTTCACATTATGTTGTCAAATGAAATATCATTGGAAGTGAAAGAAACAAGTGGATCCATTCCATTGGAATTCGTGGAAACTATGCATATAATCTCCGTTCCATTTGACACGAAAATGACCACCAGAATGGGCCAAAACGTTACATTTTTCAACGTTAGAATGTACTAAAAACATAAAAAAATGTGTTTGCATATATGCAATATGGTATATGAGGCACCACAGTGACTGTATGAAAAAATGTCCGAAACAACCCGATCAATTCTGCCAAACATCCACGTTCAGAGATTTCACCGAAAACATTGCCGCAGAAGTGAAAATCTCGGGATTTCGATGCCCCATTAACAACAATGGGTACAAAGTCAGCACCACATCGTCTCAGTGTTGTGGCAAAGCCAAAACGAGTCGAAAAGCCGGGGTTTAAAATGCAGTTTGGGTCCCTGGATTCAAAGCAACAGCCACACCCGAAGAAATTATCGACTATATCACGTCCAAAACATCGGTAAACGAAAAATCGAGATTCAATGTGCACAAACTCGTGAAAAAAGGATGTCCCCACATTGAAGTTTGTTTCGTTTAAAATCGAATTAAATGAAGACGATTTTGACATTTTGATCAATCCGGAAGTGTGGGAAGAGGATTATCTTGTTCGTGAGTTCCTTCAGAGCAAAACATTAGGTGATTTTTTCCTGGCATTGAATTCGAAAAACATCCGAAAATCACCGACAGTAGATTTAATGATTTAACAGAACCACCACCGAGCAACATCACCGAAAAATCATTGAACAAATTCGCACAAACATCGAGCAAAACGAAATTGAACGAACATTGACCCACATCAAAAACAAACGAAACTAGAGCCACAAAATTACAAAATAAGAGTACAAAAGAAATTTACGAGAATGATGTTTAGAAAATTTCACTGACCCATATAATATGAGACTCATAAGACTCAACCTTCTGTCGCTTGAGGATCGAAGATCACTTTCATATGAATATACTTTATACAAAATTAAACATTACCATCAATTTTTAGTCGATGTGGTTGTGCGAAGATATTTTTATTTTAACTGAAAACGTCATTTTTCAATGAATTCACATCATGACCTACCGAGCTCTTGCGGCACCATCTAGCGTTGAGCTATCGGCATGAAACTTTACACACGTTATTTGCACACCATATGGAAAAGTATTCCGAGGTAAGAGCGAAAAAAATTCAACTTTTGTGTTTTGGGGGCCAGTCTATTCTACAAAATATGAAAATATGACGTTTTTGTAAATTTAGTACTATGAAATACTATAGTAATTTTACCAAATTTGTAATATTACTATAAAATTTCATAGTAAATTTACAAAAACCTATATTGAATATATATTTGTAAAATTACCTCAAAAATTCATAGTGAATTTACAAAATCGTTCAATTTACATCATTTGTAAATTTACTACAAAATTTCATAGTAATTTTACAAATTATGAAAATTGGAAGTTTTTGTAAATCTACTATGAATCTCCGTATAACAATAGCATAGAAAATTCATTTTGTCTGATTTCGCGGGATCTTTTTTTTAATTCACCCACAGTTAGTTGTTCCATTGGACCAATTTTTCCTACAACCTTTAATGATAGAACGCAGAACACATAGTTTTTCAACTTGTTTGTGTGTAAACAAACAAATGTCAACTTAATCTCATGTGTCAGATAAGCGTTCAATTTACAAACCGTTCAAAAGAAAACCAACGTTCACAGAAAATTGATAGTTTTTCATTGCAATATAAATTTAATAAAATAAAATAAAATTAATGCCCCTAAATTTTCTAAAAACTATTTATTTTTAAACCATTTTTTCATCGTAAATTTTCAAGTCAAAAAATAACATTATTTGTTTTTTTTTGTGTTTTTTTCTGTTATTTTATTATTATTATTATGATTTGGAATTATGCTACCAAAAAATTGTGAAAAAGTTGTATTTAAACTGATATATTCATCATTTGTAAATTTACCCTGACTTTTCGTAGTATTTTTACAAAATGATATTGTGACTTTCATCTTGACACATTTGTAAATTTACTACGAAAATTCAGTGTAAATTTACAAATGAATTACAACACAGTGTTCGTCGGAACATAGCGCCATCTATTGAAATAATCTTAATCTACTTAGACGAACTTTTTGGTGTATCTATAAATATAGAATGTCACACTGTATGTTTAGAGGCGACTTTCTACTGATGCCTTGCCACCACTGCACAATAATGCATTCTCTTCGCTTTGGTCTTTGATTTGTAGTACTGGAACCAGGCTTCATTGACAACTACTATTGATTCATTCGATACATTCCAGAAGCTTGAGTAATCAATCACAAAGAGAAATGTGTTCATCTGTCAAAAAAAATTCAAAAGCTTTTCGAATGATCGGCAACAAACGTTTCCAAGTAACGTCTTTCGTGTGATATATTGAAGACACTGTCTGCTGTGATGGTGAGGGTCGAAGCTAACGTACTGTTGGGCATTTGGAATATTTCATGAACAACACTTGGATTTAAGCCATTACACTGTTTTCACTAATGTCATAAAAGTGTAAGGAATTTTTGAGGCTACGCAATATTAACATTTTGTATGTATATGAACGAACGCGTCACAGAAAATTTATATCAGAACAATGGGAACTTCGAAAGAAGTGTTTTGTGCTTATATCAATAGTTTTTTTAAGCCCGGTAATATGATGACTATTGTCCGTTCCTAAATCTACGACAACGCCATCTCTTGTTCCCCATCCGTTGCGAGTTTTTTTACCAACCAATATTGATTGGTTCAAATTAAATAAAATGTCTTACATCCGTAAGATGAACTTTTCCGCACTGTGATCCACGACTTGAAAGAAAACTAAATCTGACATTTTTGGATTATTGGATTATTGGATTAAAACGGGGAGTGTCCTATTTAAACAGTAAATTTTAATATAGTTACTCGTTGCTCAAGTTTCATAACTTATTGCAAGACGCCCGTGTGTGTATTGAATACACGAGAATAGTCTTTTATCCAAAAATGTTTCTAAGGCATGGATTGTCATCGCATGCCCGTTTGAAAAACGTTACCAATTTGAATACACTCGGTGCATGAATCAAAGGGTAGGATCTCCAGCCCGTGAAGTCAGCCCGTATGGTATCCAACATTGGACATCTATCTATGAGGTGGGCAGTGGTTTCCCCTTCTCCACCACACAGTCTACAGTCCGGGTCGTCTCTGAGATTTAGATTTCTCATATGAGAATTGACCCTGGCGTGCCCGGTAAGTAAACCAATTACCATCCGGAGTTCTTCCTTGGGCAATTTGGCTAATTCCACCGTGAGTTTTGAACATGTGAATTGAACGAAGTGTTTCGTTTGCTCACATGAGAACGTACCCTGCCAATTTAGGCGGGATCTGTTGCTGAGCCAAGTAGCTAATCGGTTCTTGACTCGTGAATATTCAATTGGTATGTATGGTTCTGGACCCTCTATTGCATCGTGTGCAGCCAATTTTGCCGCCCCGTCTGCCAGGTCATGCCGTCATGCCCCCGAATACCAGTATGAGATTTGATCCAAACCACCCTAAGGTTGTTCGTTTCAGAAATGCGCTGGAGTGCCTCGTAACAGTTCATAGCCAAGCCATTTTGCATCTTAATATTCTTAAGATCAGTTATGGCTCCCAAACTATCTGTGAAGATAGCTATATTTCCCCGTACTGGGTCCCCCAGTATTTTGTATGCACAATGAATAATTCCAGATATTTCCGTCTGTTTGACTGTTGTTGTTTGTCCCAGGGGAAATGAATAGGTGAGGTTCTCTGCTTCACAGTAGAAGCCGCATCCACTACCTGTTTCTCTGACTGAACCATCAGTGAAAAAGGAGTTTTGTGCCCATTGTTTTTGCTGGAAGAATTCATTGAGACTTTTTGTTATAA